GGAGCCTGTGCTCCGCAACGGGAGAGGCCACAACAGTGAGAGGCCCACGTACCGCCAAAAAAAAAGAAAAAAAAGAATCCGCCTGCCAATGCAGCAGACATGGGTTCAAGCCCTGGATGCTGCGGACCAACTAAGTCCATGAGCCACAACTACTGAGCCTGTGCTCTAGAGCCCGGGAGCCACAACTATTGAGCCCACGGGCCACAACTACTGAAGCTCGTGTGCCTAGAGCCCGTGCTCCGCAACAAGGGAAGCCACTGCAGTGAGAAGCCTGCACACCGCAACAAAGAATAGCCTCCACTCGCCACAACTAGAGAAAGCCCGCACGCAGCAAGGAAGACCTAATGCAGCCAAAAATAAATAAATTTATAAAAAACAAACAAACTGGGCTTCCCTGGTGGCGCAGTGGTTGAGAGTCCACCTGCCGACGCAGGGGACACGGGTTCGTGCCCTGGTCCGGGAAGATCCCACATGCCATGCAGCGGCTAGGCCCGTGAGCCATGGCTGCTGAGCTTGCGCATCTGGAGCCTGTGCTCCGCAACGGGAGAGGCCACAACAGTAAGAGGCCCGCGTACCGCAAAACAAAAACAAAAACAAACAACAACACTGCATAGAAGCCCAGTATGTTAAAAATAAAACAAAACCAAGCCAGGCTGCCCCAAGCACCAGCCATGGCTCTGCCTTGAGGTCTGAGGGGAGGCAGCAGGTCTCTGAGCCAGCGATGGATGCAGCAGAAGGCAGAGCCCAGCTGGGAGGAAGAAACGGAGAGAAGGAGGCCGGGACAGAGGCGAGGGCAGGGAAACAGAGAACACGGTCACATTCACAAGGACGACTAGTCCAGATATGGACCCAGAGAACACGGTCACATTCACAAGGACGACTCGTCCAGACATGGACCCAGAGGACGAAGGTGGACACGGAGGAGAGCCTGGCGCTAGCAGAGTGGCTGTGGGATACACAGTGCAGGGAGCAAGGCAGTGTGCGGTGTGCTGGGGAGGCGGGGCGACGCTGACAGCGAGCACCAGTGGAGAGGTTCTGGGGGCGGCTGGCTACTGGAGGTAAGTGTGGTCCCCAGAGCAGCAATGAGGGGACAGAGGAGCTCTCTGAGTAAAAGAAGGAACTTCTGCGTGAAGGCTGCCCTGGCTCAGCTCCACCTGCCCACCCGCCACTGAGTAAAGGCACGGGGCTATTAGGGCCCCGCCATGCGGGGAGCCTCCAGATACCCCCAAACAGGCTGCTTTTCCTACTGCCCCAGACGTGCTCTGACCTCATAAAAGGTCAGGATAAGGAAGTCGGCATAAGACTTCGTTCCAGTTTCAGGACACGAGGGAAAAGCTGTCTTCTGAACCAAACGAGGAGGCTGCCGACACTCTCGAGAGCAAAAGGCTCACCACCCACCCTCACACCACTGCCTGGCGGGCACCCGGGACCCGTCTGGGCCTGGCTCTGCCTGCCTCAGACCAGAAGCCTCACCTGAAGCTGGCAGGCGGCGACCAGCGTCTCCTGGACGTTGCTCAGGCTGAGTTCCAGCTCGGACGTGTAAATGAAATGCAGGATTTGGCACATGGCGTTGTAGGACACGCCGTGGATCAGGACTTCTTCCTGCTCCATCTCCTTCAGCCCCCCAGCAAACATGCCTCTGCAAAGGGAAGAAAGGAGATGGCAGGGTTACACCCATTAGGACGCCAGGCCGCAGAGGAGGGGCACCCGGAAGCGCCCACAGCTCCTGACCAAGCTTGGCAGCTGTTCTGGAAACATCCATCTAATGTGCCCCAGCAGCCGCACGTGAGCCTCTGCGGGCAGGACCACGTCCAGCGCACTTTCTGCTGCATCCACCCGTGCAATTCCTGGGCCACAGCCGCAGCCCAGGGCACGCGGTGAAAGGATAAATAAATGGGAAACAAATAGTAAAAGTCCTCCGCTCAGCAGCTCCGTACCCAGCAGGCACTAAACACCAGGAACCGTGCACAGAGCCAATGCGACAACAGTGAAGTGAAGCGGCAGGATCCCTATGTGCATGGAGTTAATGCCAGAGGACAGACACGAAGACACAGGGCACTTCCAGTGGTGGAATCACTGTCAAGGACCACAACAGGGCATCTGACCGAGGAGTGCCCAGTGCGGGAGAAGAGTGGCTGGAGAGCGATGGCAGAAGGGCCCACGATGAGGAAGTGGAGGTGGCAGGCACCCAGGGCCCAGGGCCAGGAAGAGCTTGCAGGCAGGCAGGCAGGTAGGCAGGCAAGGCGAGGAGGAAGAGGCAGGAGGTGAGCCTGGGCCAGGTCCTGCTACCCCTGGGGCAGGGTAGGGTCTGGACCAAAACCAAGGCAAATGAGGTGCTCTCGGCGAGTCGTACACAGGCCTGAGCAGGGGAACTTCAGATCTTGGGCTCCTTGGCCAGAGTGGAGAGGCTGGAGCAGAGGCAGGGAGGCTCCTGCAGGGCTGGGGAGGCCACACGGCTGGGGAGGCCACACGGCTGGGGAGCTGGAGTAGAGACCACCCTGGGGCCGAGAGGAGAGAACAAGCGATGGAGGGAACCCAGGAAAGCACAGGAGGAACCCAGGCTGGGCAGGAAGGGACTTGGCGGGACCGGAGTGAGAGAGGGCAGTGGGAATCCCATTGTGGCTCCAACACTGTGGGTGCCCCAGGGCATCCCAGCAGGGGTGTCAGTTAGGTGTTTGGAGGGAGGAGGCTGGCAGTCAGGGGAGGAATCTGGGCTGAAATATGACAGCAACACAGAGGTGACAGAGTGGCTATTGTCACATTTTATATCACACACAGACACACACACACACGCACACATACTCTCTCTCCCTCTCCCTCCCTCTCTCTCTCAAGACCTAAATTACACGAAAGGGTGCTCTGGTCACCAGCCCCCCTCCAAGGGTGGCACTATCCCCAGAGGCAGTGCCCGCGCCTTAATCCCCACCTGGTTTCGACTTCACAGGACACCTTGGAAACAGCCCCGATCATCTGTACACACAGCGCTGCCCCTCTCTGTAAAGGCGATCACAACTGATTTAACCGCTCCTGCCGGGGTCCACCTGGGTTACTTCTAATCTGTTATTTCTCCCAGTGGATGGCTTTGCGCCCATGAGCTGTTGCTCATGTGAACGCCAGGATTAATTTCAGGAGAGCAACTGCTGGGTCAAAGAGTTTCATACACACGCACTTGGATGGCACTGCCCACGGCCTGTCAGGTAGCGCCACCAGTGTGCGGGGAGCCTGCCCCCCACACCCTCAGAACCAGAGGAAGACGCCGCTCCAACTGCCAGGAGGCGAGGGAGAAATCTTGTAAACAATGGGACAGAGGCTCTCTTCACAGGTTTAACAGGTGTTTTTATATTCTTTTCCAAACAGTCCAGATGCTTTGCCCATTTTCTGTTAGACTCTGTCTTGTCAATTTCAAGAAACTGGAACCTCTGTGCATCGGTGATGGGCATGTAAATTAGCGCAGCTGCTGTGGAACAGTATGGGGTTCCTCAAAAAATGAAAAACAGAATTACAGAATGTGATCCAGGGAATTCTCTGGTGCCGCAGTGGTTAAGAATCCGCCTGCCAATGCAGGGAACACGGGTTTGAGCCCTGGTCCAGGAAGATCCCACATGCCACGGAGCAACTAAGCCCATGAGCCACAAATACTGAGCCTGCGCTCTAAAGCCCGCGTGCCACAACTACTGAAGCCTGTGCGTCTAGAGACCGTGCTCTTCAGCAAGAGAAGCCACAGCAATGAGAAGCCCGCGCACCGCCACAAAGAGGAGCCCCCACTCACCGCAACTAGAGAAAGCCTGCAAGCAGCAACAACGACCCAGCGCAGCCAAAAACAAACAAACAAATAAATAAATAAATAAATTTTTTTTTTTTTAAAAAAAGAACACTACTGATCTGTACACTTAAAAATGGTTAAGATGGTAAATTCTATAGGGTTTTTTTTTTAAAAAAAAGATGTTCACCAAGTCCCCAGCAGGCGGGCACAGATAGCACAGACCACAAAGAGAACCCGGGCCACCTCTACTGCCAGGATGTCATAACCAGATGTCACAAGGTGCCAATGAGCTGCCTCGGATATGAGGTGGGGAGAACATTTCCTGTGCCAGCTTGTACCAGCCCCCAACCCCTCTTGCAAACCTTTGAGGTCAGGTGTGTTTCAGAATTCAGAACGTTTCACCTGGAGAAACCCTTATCTGTGCCACATATGATGTCACGCTACCCCCCATAAGGTCTGAATCAAATCCAAACACCTCAATATTTCCAAACCAAAATGTACAAAGACCCATACTAAGTAGGACACATATAAAAGTACCCTCATATCAGTTCAGGGCAGGTTTCGTGGTTTAATGAATTTCTGCCAAACTTAGACTTTTAAAAAGCTGGCAATGTAGGAGAATCCAACTTCTGCCTCCCCGCTCAAAGATCAACGACTGGACAGATTGGACAGCTATCCACAAACAAAAGAGCTCCGGGAGGGACTTCCCTGGTGGTCCAGTGGGTGAGACTCCACGCTCCCAATGCAGGGAGCCCAGGTTCGAGCCCTGGTTAGGGAACTAGATCCCACGTGCCGCAATAAGATCCTGCATGCCACAACTAAGATCCGGCACTGCATAAATAAACAAACAAACAAACAAATAAACAAATATTAAAAAAAAACAGGAAAACCAGCTCTGGGAGACTTCCAGAGGACACTTGACAAGTTTTAGCAACATATTAGAACAAAACAAAACAACTTTGAGTATCAGAGCTTTGAGGTTTGAGTATTATGAACTAGGATTTTCAAGGGAAAACTGTGGATGATAAGGAACGTTTATAAATGGTTACCACGGGGGTGAGGTGGGAGGGCAGGGATAAAGTGGTGCTTTCCACGATTTCCTATTCCAGCAACATTTCAGCTGTGGCAGTGGATGCTGGATGTGACCACATGCCTGCTGACCTGTCTGTGGACGGCCACACGCCAGGTCGCCCCAGGCTGATTAGGGCCTCGCACTGGAAGAGAGGTTTCCTAACATGGAACCAACTGTCCTTCCACGAACAAGGCCCAGCAGGCGGGGGTCTACTGCTCCACATGCCCAGGTCTCACTGAGCATTTCACACACTCTGATTCATAAGGAACTACAGCTTTCCGTGTGTTGGCTGGACACCGCTCAGCACCTGACAGACACCCCCACAGGGCGTCCCCTACAGGGCCCAGCCATGAGCCCACTACCCTCCAAAGCCCTTCCTTCCACCCCTGCCCACATCAGATATCTTCAGCAGCCTCACTGGGAAAAACCCTTCATCATTTCAACCTGAGTGAATAACTGAAATGAATAATAAGGAAATAAACCCGCTAAAAGCTTGGGAATCATCATTTCATATGCACGTACCAGAGATGAGCCTGGGTTCTCCCTGGTCCCAGTGGGAGGGGGTATCATCCTGCACAGTGACCAGGCCTGAGAGGGGAACACCTCCCAGGACAGACCCGCTGGAAGTGGCTGCCAAAGGGCCAGGAATCACTCCTGCAGGATGTGGGAAGACACAGAATGTTTCCACCAAGAAGGGAGAGGTGGCACCAGTAACTGTCCTTTAGGAAGAGGACCATGACTGTGACAGTGACAGGATGGCCTGCGTGGGGAGAGAAGCTCCACCTGAAGGGCTTCGACGGTGTGTGCAGGAGGCCCTAAGCCCGGAGGACTCCAGTGCTTGACCTTCTGGGCCCTGAGGCCTCCCACAACTCTGCCCTGCCCACTACCCTGTCTTCTCAAAGCTTGTAAAAGCTGAATCCCCATTAACTGAAGGGACACTGTTGTCCCTGGACATGTTTGCTCTAAGGCACCACTAACCACTGGGTCACCCTCTCCATAAACTCCTTCTGGAGAACAGGAAGCACTTAACCATAAAGAAATATTTTGCTCATTAGCTCCTAAAGTTAAAAGATGAGAACTACAAATGAGCCTTGAAGACAAAAGAACCAAACAGAATGGGAGACAGAATAGAGGGTCTCAGGTCTCAAGTGGGATGGTGGCACCAGCTCTGCCCAATGTGCTCAGGGCTGGGCTGGCGTCACGTAGGAGGTCATGAGAAACTCAGGGGACAGAGAACCCACAGGGAGGGTGGGAGGCCGAGGCCCAAGGGATGAGGAGGTGAGAGCAAGAGGTGGATGGCCAGGTGAGGGTGTGAACAGAGTGACTCCACATCACATAGCTGGTGTGGACGACATGCATACCGTACTGACCACCTGCCTCGGCCCCCACAGAGGTCCCTGGGCCCGTATGGGCTTCCTGACAGTTTTACAAGAACACTGGGTGGGGCTGAAAAGTCTAAGGCATAAAGCATCAATAACGTCTTTTAAAAAAGGCGTGTGTTACAAAGGCAGTGAAAGCAAATGCGGCAAAATGGTAACAACTGGTGTCCAGGTGTTTGTGATACTATTCTTTTCAATGTTTCCATAGGTTTGAAATTTTTTTTAATGAGATAATGGGTAGTGAGAGTAAAGTAGAAAGAAAATCTGTTTCACACCAAGATACTGTACTTATAGTAGAAAATTCATTGTTGAAAATACAATATTATAAGTAAAGCCAAGCATACCGCCTTTAAAAGAAAAAAAAAAAGGAGCACATGCCCCAGAGATGGGGCAGCTGAGAGAAAAACAGACCCCGAGTCCCCTATGCCTGCACAGACAGAAGCGGGAGAAGCCCGGGGTGCCAAGGCGTCCACCTGGTGCAGCCAGCATCCCTGATACCTTACTACGCAGACTCACCTGAAGTAATCGCAGGACGCAGCCAGCAGGATGCGATGGGCCTCGATGTGCCTCCCCTCCACCACCAGGACCACGTCAAAGAGGATGCCGCTGTTCCGCAGAGCCAGCAGCCCCCGGAGCAGTGCCTGAGAGTGCTGTGCGCTCCGGTAGGTGTTGCTGACACAGTGCGGGTGGGAGGGCTGTGCCGGCAACTTGCAGAGCTGGGCGAACTCCTGCTCCTCCGCCATCCTGACCACCGCTCCCAACCTCAGCACCGCGGCTGTCAGCTGCCAAGACACAGGAGCCAGGAATGAGCCTGGGAGGCAGCGCTGGCTGTGCAGGGCTGGCCAGCTGTTCGGGTCCCTCCCTCCTGCTCACCTGTGCTTTCCCCGTGGTCTCAAACCTCTAATTCCCTCTCCCCTCCCACTGCTGTCCAAACTTGGGGCCTTCTTCCTCCTGACCTGTGTCTCTTCATTGCCAAGATTCTCCTTTCCATTTTATCTGCTTCAGCATCGCCATGAAACAAAAAGGTTCTAGAGACAGACCGACCCAGGCAGGAAACCCAGCCCCATGGTGGACTCAGTGTGGTGAACCTGAGTGTCAAGCCCCTCAGCTGAGAAAAGGGGATTACAAGCACCCAGCCCCTCGGGGCATTCTCAAATTTCCTAAAGGATGAAAACAAAGCACCAGCACAGACCAGGTTCTCAAGGGCTCTTCCTCTCTTCTATTGGGAAAGAACACTGGGTCCCCCCCACAACAGGAATGGATGAATAAAAAAGACAACAGGCCTAGGTGGTGGTACAGGGGAAGGTTCCAGGCCCTACCTTCTTTTACTGAGATTTTGAGTCAAGCACTGTAACTTCAAGTAAATTTGGTACATTCAAGATTGTCTGCATCGTCTTTTAAATTCAAGCTTAACTTCTAATAATTGAGTCAGTATGTTCAAAAAAATGCAAACTGATTTGAACAGGAGCCTCAGAAACCCCATGAGTAAAACCAGCTACTGCAAACACATTTTGGCCAAGCACTCCAAGCCAACCACAAGTGACTGGGGGCAGCCAGTCCTACACCGAGCTGTGGGGTCGAGCTGTGCACTCTCCAGGCCACAGCACTGCCAGCCAGCGGACCACCTGCCACATCTCCCTTCCCCACCTCACGTTCCTCCACTATCCCCTCCCCAAATGTGCTTCTTTTTCAATCGCCTACTGGACCCTTGAAAGAAAAAATGAAAAATAGACTCTACTATAAAACAGAAAGGTATACTGTATTATGAAACTTAAATTTCCCTCCCACTTATAACCCCTAACCAGATCCTCTCCCAGAGGAAGCTATTCAGCTTTCCTGTCACCCTTCCAGGTAGCACCTATGTATTTGCAGGCAGAGGTGTAGAACAAAATTTCTCCCTTTTTATTAGCTTTTACACATGGTAACCTTGTATCCCACCCACAGTCCATTGTATGTATAACCGTATTTTATTTAATCAATCCTTTTCAGAGACATTTGGGTTTCCTTCAATTGTCTGCTGTTGCCAACAGTTCTGCACTGAAAGTCACTGAGATCTACCATATATGTAGCAGTTAAATGAGGAACATTTACTAGATATAGAACTGCTAGATCATCTTAATTTGAATGTGCAGTTGACATTTCAATAGATATTGCCAAATTGCCTTCCATAGAGGTTGTACCAATTTATTCTCCACCGGCAAAGTATGAGAACCGGATTGCAACCACTGTCTAGCACACCAATAGAGTTTTTTTTTTTTTAATCTTTGCTGACTTAGAATGAAAAACACCATTTCACAGTGTAACTTCGTTTTGCTAATTCATAAAATTTCAAAAAATAAAATATTAAGTGGAATGCTGCACATCTTTTGCGATTCCCTTCCCATGCCTGTTCTTCTGAAATAAAATATGTTCTTGGGGGCTCACTCTCTGGCACCCTCGACCTCCTATTCATTTTACCCAGGTTCCTCTATGATGAAGCCCTTCCCTAGATTAACTACCCTCGGCCCCATAACGTCCCCGATTCTAGTCACGGCAAGCAAGGCCCTGCGTTCAGAGCTTTTCAGTTCAGAGCTTTGGAGGGAGCAGGAAGGAGGTTTTATGTCCCAAGTAGATACAAACTGAAGGACGTAAAATGAATTTTCATGAATTCATGGATGACAGAGTCGGAAGCATCTCTGAACAATGTTCAACTCAACACAATTTACTGAGTAGGCACCCTCAGTCCTCTGCAGGGCCCCAGTGTCTGCCCTCCACGAAGCCCAGTCCCTAGCAGCACGAAGCAAGGTCTGCAACAAAGGGAAAGGGGGTCTCACTTCCCAGGGGACGGCCCGCGTCGGGTGCGGATGGGATGCGTTCTGGACCATCGCGGCGCGGAGGCCGGAGCGGGGCAGGGACGCGCCCGGGCGGAAGGCGCTGGGCTCGGGGCCGGGGTGGTAGTGGGCAAACCAGCGGCCGGCGCTCCGGGCCGAGACGTCGCACTGACAGCGCGGCCGCCGGGGCCGTCGGGGGCCGTCCAGGTCCGTCCGTGCAGCAAGCGGGAGCCGAACCTGGGCCGGCTGAGGGGCCGAGGCTGGCATGCCGGGGTGCAAGGTCGCGCCAGGGGGACTGCGCCCGACCGGCCGCCTGTTGCAGGGCCGCCGGCACAGCGCCGGGACCGCGGCCCCGAAGGACGCGCGCGGACCCGCGGGGGCGACAGGCCCACCCGAGGCCC